TTTTACCTCCACGGCGTACGCGAGTCAGAGTTTCCCCAAAGGCGATGCTCATACCGAAAAGCCGACGGCGTAGCGAGATGGGAACGCGGTCCTCTGGCGCACGTTCCCCTTGGGGAAATAGTGCCCAGGAACTGGGGTGGGCTGGCAGGGAGGAGGAAAGCCGTGCTCGGGGCGCTGCCCGCAGAGCATCCGTCCCCACATCGCCCTTGGCGATGCCCCTGCTCTCCTCTTCTGCAGGGGGCAGAGTTACACCACCAGAAGGTGACATGGGGGGAAATACCGCAGACATTTATTCATCTGGTTACTCAAGGAAACCCTCAGCCACTGTCCCGGGGGCCTTAAGCGGAGCGGTGGAAAGGCTTCAACAGGCTGCGGCCAGCGTGTCCATCATAGTATCGTTGCTGCATGCCGTGTTGTTTTCTGGCTCCTCGAAGACCCTCCGGAAGGCGACCTTGAGGGGCACGAAGGAGCAGTGCCTCCGGCAGCTCCCCACCAAGAAGTAGATGAAGGGGTTGACGCTGCTGTTGATGCAGGCAAGCAAGAAAACAACCTGGGAGGGCACGATGGTGTAGCTGAACTGCTGCAGGAAATTCCAGATGCTGAGGGGAAGAGCGAAGAGGAGGAAGAAGAGGACAGTGAGGAAGATAACGATGTAGAGCCTCTTGGGTTGGCGCTGCTGGGAGCCACACAGGACCTTCATGAAGAGGATTGTGCTGGAAATGACCATGGGTGGGGCAAAGATGAGGAAGTTGAGGGCATACGTAGAGATGAGAGCCATCTGGCAGTGCTCGTGCTCGTGCAAGAGGCACAGAGAAGTCACTGCAGCAATGACGGAGATGGAGAGGGCCCAGAGCAGGGGACACACCACGGCCGACAAGTGCTGGGGGCGGCAGATGCTGGAGCAGAGGACGGACACGCACCTCTCGATGCTGATGGCAGTCAGGAGGTACAGACCCATGTTGTAGGAGAACAGCGAGAGCAGGAAAAGCGACCTCAGGTACACCCGAGACACAACAGTGGAGCAAGCGTTCTCCATCATGTAGAGGATGGA